GCAGCCCTGAGCAGCCCCCCGAGCACCCGCGGCACTGCGGCCGGCTCCCGTGGCACTGACGCCCAAGCCGATGTCCCTCTGGCGGTGGCGCTGCCACCCCGACTCCCTGCTGCTGCCCTCATCCTGGCTGCCCCGTGCCGGCAGTGACGTGGTGTGGCAGAGCCCAGACAAGGGACAGAAGCCCTTTTCCCAGCTCGTGTGGGCAGTTTGGCCGCGGTGGGCAGTGAGCACCGCGGGGCAGCAGCAGGGGACCTGCAGTTGAAGCTGCCTGAGGTCTGGAGCAGGGAGGCACAGCCCTTTATGGAGGCAGGAGATGCCCCATTGCCACCCGCCTGCTGTCGCCCTGCAATGCTGTCCCGTCCTCAGCGCAGATCCTATGAGCTGTCCCCATGCAGCTGTCACTGCAGAGCTCCCGGGTGCCCGTGTGCCCAGCTGTGCAGCGTGGCAGTTGTCAGAGCTCGGGAGGGCAGGGTGACAGGGCTGTTTCACAATGGGGCTGTGCCCCACGGCTTCTGCAGGCACTCCAGTAGCATCCTGCCCTGCAGCTTGGTGATGCTTTGGGATGCATGGGGGCTGGAGATGGAGTTCTGGGGAGTGGCACAGCTGCCCCAGCAGAAAATACAGGTGCCCTACATCCCTACTACTGACACCAAACAGATGCAGAGCAGCTGCACTGCACTGACTGTGGTGAGGTACCATTCAGGCTGCACTGCTGGGCTGTAGGAGCACATCTCAGCATGACCAGGTCTGCCCCAGGGCACCAGGAGCACCCTTGGGATCTCTGTAAGGCACTGAGCTGTGCAGGACAGATAGCTGCAGTGCCAGCACACACCCAGTGCAGCCCTTCTCCAGGAGGTTTGCCCCAGCAGTCCTGCAGGTGTCAACAAACTACTCTGTACAGATGCACACCACAAGCACCAGCACAACATGTAAGCATCTGGGAAGGGCCCAGAGCACATCGGTGCCTCTGATATGGGGCTGGGGGCTGAGCAGATCCTTGGTAGGTCCTGCGCCCTCCCAGCAGTGCCTGAATGAACTGGGGGGGAGGAGGCGTGGTGCAGGGAAGGCAGAGCAATGCAAAGCATGCAACCAGCATGAGGGACAGCTGAGTAGAGCTGTGCAATGCAGGGTCTGCACGGAGCTCCAAGGTGGGGAACGTGGGACTGTGACTACGGGTACAGAGGGGCAGCACTGAGGGATGGTGGAGCTGAAGCTGTGGGCAGCATGGGGCTGGGGTTGAGGCTGTGCACCAGGTGGGGGAGCTGAGGCTATGGGCAGCCTTGGCGTTCTGCTGCTGAGGTCATCGCGGCCAAGCCTGCTACCAACCCTCCCCACACCTGCATTTGGAGCTGTGCTGGTGCTGTGGTTGTGGCTGTGGAGGCACTGCAGGTGGTCAGAGCTCCTGACCCTTCCTACGTGCCAGTCCAGCGGGAGAAGGCTGGACGTGGCTCTGGACAGCCTGGTCTGGTGGTTGGTGACCCTTCCCACAGCAGGGAGGTTGAAACTAGATGATCTCTGAGGTCCTTTTCAACCCAGGCCATCCTATGATTCTATGGATTCTACTCTATTGTTCCTGTCCTGCCCATGTGCAGCCAGAGCCCTTCTCCCCATGGGGGTAGAGGCTTTCTGCATAGCAGGGCTCTTGCAGTGGTGACGCTCACCTCACAGTGTAATTCACCTCAACGGGTCAGAACCTGCACCAACCACCACTGCAGGGCTCTGCAAATCACAGCACAGCATTCCCTGCTGGGAGCCTCCAGCAGCTCCACTGCACGGCTCCTGCAGGGCTCAGGCAGGGCACAGCAGTGCGCTGTGTGCCAGCAGCTCTCCGTGCAGCCCCTCTGGTGGAGTGTGCTGTGATCCATGAGCGTTGTACTGAAAGCCCTGTCCTGACAGGAGGCCAATAAGCACCCCATCTAATGCAATCATTGCCTTTTTCCTAATTCTTCAAGAATCATTTTCCAAATAAATGAGTGAGCGGGTCTGCGCAGAAAGAATTCCCTGGTAAAAGATGAAACTGACAACTGAGGGCAAAAAAAGTCTTGTGTATATATATATAAATACATGCATGTATACATACATGCATGTTGGTGTATACAGTGTCTGTACACCCATGTCTGTATCTCCTTATACCCTGTGTGTGTGTTTGGGTGCCCGCTTGAGAGCCTCTTCCTCCCCATAGCTACACCAGGGCACCACACACGAGCTGATACATGGGAAACTCCGACTAGACAGATGGAAAACAAATTCCCAGGAAGGCTTTCGGACTCTGGGATGGGTTCCCAATGATGCTGTGGGATGGGCACCCTTGGAGATGCGTGGGGTCGGCTGGACTCATTCCTCAGCATCCTCCCCAGACAGGCAGCTTCCAGCAGTGCTGGAGCAGAGACCCCCACAGGTTTCCTCCTGTCCACACGGCTCCGTCACAGCAGGGCTGTCCTTACTGCCTGTGTTTTTGGGGCTCTCCTCCCCCTCCAGCCTGAATGGTGCAGCACCTGCAGCTCTGACTCATGGAGCACCCTGTGCCCCAGCGGCTCTTCTGCTGGGATGTGCTGGAGCCACATTGTGCTGCACAGGCAGTGCCATGCACTGCCTTCACTGGAGTGCTGCAGTGTTTTTCTTGGTGCTGTGCAGCAGGGAGGAAATGCCTTGCAATGCTCACAGGGAGCTCAGCTCTGCACTGTGTGAGGGGCACCGTGCTGCTCTGCAGCTCCCAGTGCTCCTGGTGAAGCGCTGAGTCTGTCCCTTCCATCGGCACCAAAGTGCTGCCCCTCTGCAGCATTTTTAGTTCCATTGACATCAGTGTGTGTAGGGTTGCACTGTGTAACGGTTCTCAGACTGACAACAATAAAAAGGCAAAAAACAAATAACTTTCAAGCAGCTGGAAGCTCCAGTTGGCTGCCAGCAGTCCCTGAGCAAAGTGCAGCCACAGCAGCAGTGCTGTGCGTGCCCATGGCAGTGGTGGAGGTGGGGAGATGGGATGAGAATGCAATGAACTGATGGCACTCACCAAACTGCAGCATCAGCTGGAAATGCCAGGTGAAAAAAGAGGGTTCTCTGACGCTGTAAAATGCATTTCAATACCTTCCAGTGGCTCCCAGCACTGCTGCTGTGTGTGTTCCAGAGCAGGGGGCTGTGCTGCAGGGTTACAGTGGCAGCGCTCACACCCCACACCTGCACACATTTACGTAACACAGCACTGCTCATTGCTGCACGTTTTCTTCTACCCCTCCACTGCTGCTCCCATCCTTGCTTGGCCCAGGCCCTGCGCAGGAGCTGCTGCAAGTTCTGCAGGTGGCATTTGTCCCTTTCTGCAGCCGCGTAAGGCTGGTAAATTTGTGTTCTGAGCCTCAGCCCAAACAGGACCTAAAAAGAGAGAAGATACCTGGCCACAGCTCTCAGGTGCAGGCAGCTCTGTCACAGCATCCCAAAGGCACCGCTGCTCCCCTGGGCAGCATGGTGGGGGCAGCTGCCACAGGATTCCCACTTCCCCTGATCCACAGTGAATGCCAACAGATGCTGTAGTTGAGCAGTCTGAGCCCACAGGGGGAATGCTGCATCTCCTTTCCAGCTCAGTGATGCAGGGGACAGAGACAGAATCCATCCCAATGTGGCTGCAAGAAGCCCCCTGTGCTCCAAAGCCAGAGGACTCAGCTGTGCTGCATGAGCACAGGGCCAGGCTCCCCACTAAGAGGAGCCACCTGCTGAGGAGGGAAGGGTTGTAAGAGGGAACCTCCCCCAGGTAGCATGGAAATGGGTTAGAGTTTCTTTTTTTGGTGCTTGGGAATGTGGCTGAAGGATGTGCAGCAAAACAGCAGGAGCTGTGTACACAGATCCAGAGACTGTGGGTTCTCCAATCCCACCTGACTATTGGGCATCCTGCTCTGGGTGGCCCTACTGGGACAGGGGGGAGGTGGAAGGACCCTGAAATGCTCACGGCCTCAAGTACTCTGTGATTCTGTATCGCTGTGATATCAGCCGTGGCTGTCAGGGGTGTCTCCCACTCTCAGAAGCTGTGTCTTCCAAGGAGGGGTGCAATGACCAACAGTATCCCAGCAGCAACATCCCACATCCCTAGAGAGAGCTTTCTTCCTGTTAGGGACGGGATTGCACTGGGTGTTACTACCACAGGAGCTCTCTGGCTGATGTTCTTCCAACCAGCAGGAGGGGGTTTCATGGCCCAGCATCCAGCTAGCACTGCAACCTCCTGCACTGTTGGCCCAGCACTGTTGGTGCAGCTGTGCCCTTTGCAAAACTGGATCTTCATCAGGCCCTGGAGTTCAGCTCAGTGGTGAGAACCCTCCTCACTTTGGAACGCACAGAGCTGGAGAGAAATTGGTGGGCCTTGGTGGTGCTGTCAGTGTGAGCACACAGAGCTGATGGAGCAGCCCTTGGGGGCAGGGGGGCAGCGGGCAGGAAGCTTCAGCATGGGTGTCTGCTTAGCTCAGGGCCAGTTGTAGCACAAGGGATGGGCAGGGCTTTGCCTGCAGGACCTCGCACATCTGCCAGCGTGTGGATTGGACCTAGGGGGGGAATTCCTGCTGCACTGGGGCACCGTTCGCCTCGGGTGAGCTGCGACCGGAGGAGGGGCTCCGGCAGAGGCAACGGGTGGCCGTGTGGGGGCGGTCCCAAGGATGCTCCAGAGACCGCCGCGATGCCCCGGACCCTCCCGCGTCTCAGCACCGGCACCGGACGGGACTCGACGGCGTCCCCGAATCCACGGCTGCCCCTCGCAGCGCCGCCCCGCACCGCCCCGCACCGCCACTCCGGCCGCGCGCCCTGCCCCCCCCTCACCCGCCCCGCATCATCGCGGAAGAGGCTCCATAGAAAATAATTTATTGAAATCACAGCTATACACGAGCGGGCGCTGGCGGACAGCGCGGCCCCGGCCCGGCGGGGCAGGAGCAGCCGTGAGCGAGGGGCGGGGGGCGGGCGGGCGGCCCTCGCTCCCCGCGGCTCGGACGGACGGACGCGCCGCCGTATGTACAGAGTTTACACGGAATAAATAAGGGACATGTACAGAGGAGTGCGAGCGGCCCCGGGCCCCTCCCGCTGCCGGCGCTCCGCCCCAGGGTCCGAGAGCCGCCGCGGCTCAGGGTCGGGCCCCCTGCTCGATCTGCTGGTGCTGGCTGCGCACGGCGAAGCGGTTGACGTGCACCGGGATGGGCACCACGATCTTGGGGTTGCGGACGGGCTCTCCCGAGCGGTTGCTGACGTTGCCCGCCTTGATGCGTTTCCACTTGGCGCGGCGGTTCTGGAACCAGATCTTCACCTGCACCTCGCTCAGCTTCAGGGCGTGCGCGATCTGCGAGCGCTCCGTCAGCGAGAGGTACTTCTTGCAGTGGAACTCCTTCTCCAGCTCCAGCAGCTGCTCGCTCGTAAAGGCCGTGCGCCGCCGGCGGCTCTTCCCGGCCCCGGAGCCCGGCGGGGGCTGCTCGGCCGCGGGGCCGCCCTTCCCCTTCCCCTTGGGGCCCAGAGAGGCCGCGGCCGCCCCGTCCAGGAAGGGCTCCTCCTCGCTGTCGCCCGCCGAGCTCTCCTCCTCCCGCTCGCTGCACGGCGTCGCTGCCGATTTCACCTCCAGCTTCTCCTCGTCCGAGCTGTACGCCTTGGCGTCTGCGGGGCACACAGCGTCAGCGCCCGCACCCGCAGCCCCCGGCAGCCCCCGCAGCCCTGCTCCCAGCATCCCACCCCGCCGCGCTGCCCCGCAGCGCCCGCACACCCCGCACATCCGCGGGCGCCGCAGGGTATGACGAGGCACCGCCTGCATCTGCCCCCACCCCTTTCCCGCTGTGACAGCAGAGATGCTGCACCCCAGCAGAGCACCGCGGAGCCCCTGGGCTTGTCCAGCCTTCTGTAACCCCGGAGGAAAATAAGAGCCTTGCACCTCGCTCTGCTCGGCCCTCCCCCTGCCCCATCCCGTTGCATCTACCGCTGTTCATCCATCAAGAGTCGGCCCAGAGGAGCTGCAGGATCTTCCCAGGCAGCAGCCTGAGCTGGCTCCAGCCAGCAAAGCTCTGCAGGGCAATTGCAAAGCATCTGCTGCCATACCTCCCTCCCTGCAGCAGAGGGGTACAGTGTGTGTAGGCAGCTGATGACCAAATCTTGGTTTCTCCCACCACTCTGTGCAATGGCGCAGGCCAGAGGCTGCCAGCATCACCGGACACCCGATGGAAGGAAGGATTTGGACCCCAGGAGACATCTCTGCTAATCACCTAAAGTGATACTGGAAGGATGCAGTGGGGATAGACTTCTCGTCTGTTTCTTGTGGTCCAAAGGGGTGCCTGAGTGGTCAGACAGCCATGGAGCAAGAAGGAACATGGGTGGGAGCAGTGGAGAAGAAAGCAACCTGGAAGGCAGTCACTTTCTGGACAGAAGGGTTCCAACAGAGGCCTTATAGTAGGTAGAGTGAAAAGCTGCTCCTGGACACAGCCACGGATCACAGAGAGAGAGGAGGAACCAGAAGCAGACGAAAAAGCTTTGCCCTCTGGTACTGAAACCACCAAGATTTCCAAGATCAACCCAGGGGCAGGAACTGCAGCTGGAGCTGAAGCACCATCACTCAACACAACCCCGCACGCAGATGGAGCAGCAGCAGTTCTCTGAGTCTCTAAGCAGTAATGGGAACCAACACGTGCCACTGGTGCTCCAGAAGCTCCCTGCACCTCAGAGGAAGGCTGGACAGCCCTCCGGTGCCTGACGGTGGATGGTTGCAAAGACGTGAGCAGCAGCTGCAAGAAATCGCTTGAGCCCAGGAGATGTTCTTACAAGCCTGGTTGATGTGGGGCTCCCACTTCTCTTCTCCATCCTGCACAAGGCTGTGGCTGCCCAAGACGAGGTCACTGACTTTGGAGATCTGAAATTATGCCTCTGCTCCTCCTGGTTTGTGCAGCAATAAGCACCTTTATCTGTGCTCTGATATGGGAGAACAGACAGCGCTGTCTTCATGGTGGCTGGGAGCAGGGAGGGGCCTCCCATGGTCCTGGCAATGTACGACCTGGAAACTTTGTGCTGTGGGGCTGATGAGCAGCAGGCGGCACAAAGCACCTGGCTGCTCACGCGCGGCCTCGTGCGAGTGCTGCTCTGCCCAAGAGAAGGAGGGGGGTCATTTCTGTGTGCCTGCCCTGCCTGTGGGCTCACAAGGCCTGACAAGATGAGAAAGCTCTTACAAGGACATCATTGCCTCCTCCAGCTCAGAGCTGTGCTCAGACTCTGCCCTTCCGCACCGATGGAGGACAGGCCGGCAGCGCACCATGAGATGGTGCTGAGATGGGATTTGCTGCTGTGGGTGCAAATGGTCACCAGGAGACTGGAGAAAGTCTGAGCTGCCAACTGCAACACATCATCTCGTGAAGCAGCTGCTACCTGAACACACAGCCAGACCACAGGTTTTCAAGTCACCGACTGCTTTGCATCTTACAGAAGGGCTGAGCTTGCAGGAAGGAACTCAGACTACGCGGTGAACTGTAAAGCAGATGTTTTTACAAAGACAATTGTTATGTTGGTCCCTTTACCACCTGCTATGTCCTCACGGAGGAAATATGGAGGCAGTGGAGCCCACCCCTTTGGTGGGAAGTGTGCTGAGGCTTTCCGAGGCGCTCAGGCAGGTCGTGAAGTTGGCACAAAGCAAAGTGTTGTGACTGAAAAAGCCAACAGGAGCCAGAATAGGATCGGTCCATCTCTTCCCTCCTCACAAAATCCCAACTTGTCACTGACCTGATGATGGATTTGATGGGCACGGTGAGGAGGGACTGGAGAACGTTACAGGGAGCAGTTATTCAAGCAGGGTCAGGAGGACCTGGCTCAGGAATGGGTGCTGTGAGAGCCAGAAGAGCCCTGTGTCACTAAACACTCAAGAGCTCCTTGTCACGCTCATTTATAGGGAACAACACAATACTTCTCCACCCTAATTATTCTCAGACACAACTGAATGTGGATTTACTGCATGGGCCCAAGAGAGGTTGGATGTTGGTGGAGATCTCTGCAGCTCAGGAAGAAATGTGCTCTGAGGGATGTGAAGGGTGCTGAGTGCCATTTCCTGGGCATCAAACTCCTCCTTGCAGCCGCAGCAACAAAGCAGCCCCCAGGCTTCACCGCTTCCTACCACCACTTTCCCTAAGCGCCTCTCCCCTCTCAAGAAGTGCGACCACAACTGGAAGCCTGAAACAGAGGAGGTGCAGAGAGAGGCCCTAAAATGGAGCAATGACTCCCCAGCACTAATGGAGGCTGGGGACAGAAACCACCTCTTTAGGATTCACCCAATGTCAGCAGACAGACGAAAGGAGGCCCTCAGCACGGTTCTACCGCAGATAAGAGACCTGCAGAACGCCCTGTAGGTATCACCAAGTTTGTCTCCTTTCTGATGAGCTCCAGAGGAGGCTAAATAAGAACATAGAAAAGGAATGGGTCAAAGGTTGATACATACCCAGAAACAGCAGCCACTGAGGTGCAGCATTAGGAGGCTGATGTAGGCAGTATTGCATTGGATCACACTCTCTTACTCCTCCCTGGACAAAAGTTTTGGCCAGGGCCACACGCAGGATGCTACTGAAAGCTGCATTACGGTTGGGAATTGTATTTCCCTGAATTTCTTGATTGTGGAAAAAACCCACAGCAACCATCATGGTTTTCACCTGACCTGGTTGGTAAAACAAGCCTGCCGTCCGTCTCCGTGGGCCCTGACAGGTACAGTTAAGAGAAAAATTACATACAGGAATCCTCTCAGACCTGGGCAAAGGTGCCTTCATGGCTCCACATGGGCAGAAAAGGAAGCATCCTTCACGACTTCAGAGCAGGAACAGTGCTGAGAGCTGCTAACAGGCAGCAGTGAATGATCAGCAGCAGTGAGACACATTTCCTTCCATCATCAGAACAGTCACAACAGGGTGAGCCTCAGAGATACAATTTCCCAATATCAGAAATGTCCAATTTTCAGAACAGCTCATCTGAGTCCCTCAGGAGGACAACACGTTGAGCTCAGGTACAGAGGAGCCACAGAGGGAGGTGAAGCACAGTGCTGCTCGTTTCCCCGTAGAGTGGGAGGATGTGATCGCACAGATGCAGGTTTTGGCCATAGCAGTTCTGTTCCTGAGGAGACTTTCAAAACAAAAGTGGGACCTCTGTGGGTGCTTGACTCAGCACAGAGTGCTGAGGGATCACCAAAGCTCAGTAACAAATAAAGGAGAGGCAAAACGCTGCAGTTGTCCTAAACCAGAGAGTGGTTTCAAGGGATACCTGCATGCATGCAACGGTCCTCTGAGCAAGGAACAAGTCAGGGCAAGGAGAGCAGCCGGGCTTAGCCAGGAGTGTAACGGGAGGACAGAGCACAGCCAAGCCCTGCGAGAAGTTGCAGAGACTGATCAGCACGGATCTGTGCCAGGAAGACTCTGAGACAAAGGTGGATCTCGGAGCCTTCGGGAGGAGGCAGAGCTCAGGAACAGGCCGTGCCACAAAAAGGCAGCGTTTGGTTTGTGTCAACCACGCTGCAGAGAAGCCTCCGTCCCCGGACTGCGGGAGCAGAGATGGAACAGAGCAAGAGCTGGAGCTGGCAGAGAAACGGCGCAACGAGTCACCGGGAGGGCATCTGCTCAGCCGGGGATGTTCACAAAGCCCGGGGCCGTGGTGGAAGCAGCCTCAGAGTAGCACCGGGCGGGGGCCCGGAGAGAAGCCGCCTGCTGTCCGCTCCGTCGGGCAAAGCCGGGGCCGCGGGCGCAGCGAACCGGAGAGAAGGTGAGCGGGGCTGCGGGCGGCGCGGGGCCGGGATGAAAGCGGGACCCGGAACGCGCCGAACCGCGGGACAGCGAGGGCTCGGCCGGAGATCCCGTCCCGCGGTGCGCGGCACCGTGCGGATACGCGGCGCGGACCTACAGAGAGCGCCGAGCGGCGCCCGGACGGGACCGATCCGCCCCGCGGCTCTTCCGCCTCAGCCGGCCGGGTCGGCAGCACCTCGGAGAGCTCCGCGCCGCCCCGTCCCGCCGCCCCGCCCCGCACGACGGCTCTGACCGGCGGCTGCGGCGCGGCCCGGAAGCGGCGAGCGGAGTTTGGCTCCGAGCCGCCAAAGTTGCGGGCGCTGCAGAGGCGGCCCGGAGCGGAGGGCGGCCGGCCCGGTCCCTCGCTGGGCACGATGGGACAGAGCGGAAGCGTAGCGGCGAGCCACCTCCCCCCCCCCGCCTCCTGCAGCTCCGGCCCCGCCGCATCCCGCACCCGGCGCGCCGCCTTCGGGAATCTCGCCCCGGGGAGCTCGTCCGCCCGCAGCCGGCGCCGACGGAGCCCGCGGAAGGGGCGGGCGGGGGGCGCTGCCCACCGCGAGGCTGCCCGGGGCTCCCGAGGCCGCCGTCACCTCTCTTACCTGCCAGGCCTGGGAAGGGGTCCGGGAAGTGCAGCGACGGCTCGGGAGGCCCTTTGTCGCGCCCCGGGGGCAGCTCCTCCGGCTCCAGGCCCTCGGCGCCCCGCCGGCAGCCGGCGTCGGGGGTGACGCGCGGCGGGGGCAGCTCCTGCGGCGGGTAGAAGCCGTCGGGGGGCTCGGAGAAGCTGGGCAGCGCCGTGGTGAGGGCCACCATGGAGGGCACGGCCTGGCCCAGGCTGGCGCAGAACGTGTTGGTGAGGCGGCCGGCGAAAGAGGCCAGCGGTGCGAGCGGCGGCAGCCCCGACTGCAGCGGCGCGTGGGACAGTGCCTGCGGCAGCACCAGCGGCCGGTACGGCATGAACATGGGGTACCCGGTGTACAGCAGGTGCCCTGAGCGCGGCGGCGGCGTCCCGATGAGCGAGTCGATGGAAAAGGCGGTCCCCTGGCCGCTGGGTCTCTGCATGGCGAGCGGGCGCCACCGGCTCAGCCGGCACCAACTTTCCGGCGAGCTCGGGCCGCCGCCAACTCGCCGCAACCCCGGGCCCCGCCGCGGCCCCGGCCCCCGCCCGCCGCCTCCCGTGGGCTCCGGCGCCCGGCGAGAGCTGCCGCCCGCCCGCCCGCTCGCTGCCTCGGCGCGGCGGAGTGGAGGCGCGCTCGGAGCCGCCCGCCCGCCCCGCTGCGGGGGGGCCGGGCCGGGCTGCGGAGGGGAGGGGAGGAGTGGGGTGGGGTGGGAAGGCGGGCGGGGGTGTCGCCCTCTGCTCTCATCCATCTTCCGCACATCACGGTCGAGTTCCTCCTTCAGCGCCCGCTCCGGCGGGGCACAGCTCCCCGCTCCCCCCGGCGCGGTCGGCCCCTGGGAAGGCGCCTCCCCCTCCCGCCTCATCAGCTGTTATTAATGGTGATTGATGATTAGCAATTATGGGGCCAGCACAAGGGCGCTTTTGTGGGGCTGGGACGGGTCCGTGCCTCGCGGCGCATCCTATCCTCCCCTGAGTCTGGGACGACGGACGGGGCGAATCGGCCCCGCTCTGGGCTTGCGGGCTCGGCCCGGGCCGGCGCTCTGACGGGCGGTGGCGGCTTTTAACAGCTGAGCCCGAGAGCCCCGACGGAACGCTCCACGCCAGGCACCGGCTCCGACCCCGTCGCTCCGCGGCCACCCACCCGCCGCGCTGTGCCGTGGGGCCGCCCGGCGCTCGGAGCGGGTCTCGGCGGGGCGGGCGGCGGGGGCGGTCTGGAGACGCGGTCCCGCCCGGTGCAGGGTGGGAACGAGACGGGCTGATTTACAGCGGGTCTGAGGCTCTTCCCGCCCCTCCGCTCTGCTCTCCGTTCGCCGCCGGACGGATCTCGGCGCCCCTCTCCATCGGTGGCAGCGGCGCCGAACGCTTGCCGGGCCGGGGGGTGCCCCGGAGGCTGCGGTCCGCCCCGAGCTGCGGAACGCCCCCGGATCGGGGTTACAATCCGCCCGGGCTGCGCTGCACAAAAGCCCCGGGAGCGCGGGATTGAGTGCCGACGGGCGCCTCTTCGCGCCGTTCCAGAGTCGGTGGAGAACTGCAGCGAGGGTTCCGCGGCTCTGCCCTTCCTTGCTGTGCGCCCCTGGGGAGCTCCTGTGCCAAAGCAGAGCACTTGCTGCTGCTCCTGACACCTGTGCTGTGCTCCTACCTGTGAAGAGGTGGTCCCCGGGTATGTAATGTGTCAAACACTGAGCAAAAAGGCCCTGCTGCAGCAGAATATCAGCATCGGGATTGCCTCCTAATGCACCCAGAAACAGAGAAATGCCAGAACTGAAGTCGTGTCTAAATGCACCCTGAAGGCGTTTTCCATGGGACAGCTCTGCTCCAAGCAGCCACCATCTCCCAGGCAGTCCCACCTCAGCTCCCTGTGTGTTCCTGTGCTCAGCCTCTGCTGAGAAGTGCAGTCCCTCCAGCTGCTGGGTTCCCTGCAATGCCTGGTGGCAGTGACATCTGAAGGAATGCAAGGATGTCCTCCCCACACACACCACCTTCTACTCTATCTCCAAGGACATCTGGCTCATTGCCTTCCTGCAGCCCTCAGTAGAATCCTGTGCAGAGCACATAAATGAGGGTGGATGCGTCCAGCAGGCTGACAGGGCCCTCAGCTTCTCTCTGCTAACCGAGCACAACCTAAATCCCTGTGCAGAGCCTTCCCTTTCTGCATGGTTCTGTACTGTTCCCTGTGGTTTATCCTCACAGCCTCAAGGAAACACCTCTGACCAATGGCTCTTGGGTCACCAAGGAGGAGAAGTGAGCGCTTGTGGGACCGTCTGGCCCCTTCCCTAGGACGAGACCCCAGGTTCTAGACTGGGCAGGAGGCTGGCAGTGACTGGCACTGCTATGAATCCTGCCTCAAGGATCAGTGGGGCACCAGAAGGAAGGCAGTCAGGTTCTGCAGGTCAGCACCCATCCTTTAGCTGTCCTTGCCCCAAACTCTCCGCTTTCATCCATCAAACGCTTCTGTGGGAAAAGAACCCTCAAGGCTGGAGTCATCTTCACATGTGGAATTGTGTTCATTCTATTGCTACCAAGACACATTAGACTATGGGGAACATGAAAGCATAATCACATGTGACTGGATCTCCAGACTTGTGCTCCACATCAAGGATTTGCAAGCAAGTTCCTACTCCTCAGCAACTTTGGTTTGGCCATTTGTTGCATGAATACTTTAAGTGCGACCTTTTAGCTGTGCGTCACACTGCCCTGTAAGTGAGCAAGGTCTGTGAGAGCAGCTGGGAAACGTTGTCTTTGTCACCTTGCTGGGGAAACACAGAGAGCTGCAAATGAGCCGCAGCTCCACCAGGAGCAGTGACTGCCTGTGCCCAAGGGCAGGCCCTTCCTGAGGCCAGCAATACAAGATCCCATACTGACCTCTGCAAACAGTATCCTGCAGCCTACGAGTCCCTAAATATGTCACTGAGTGGGAGATGCTGCTTACCTGATCACACACTTACATTACTGCAACCCCTGTCCTTCAGACACTGACCCCCAGTCCATCAATGCCTGCAGCAGCGCAGACCGTGACTCCAGGGCGCCAGGTCCCTCAGAAGAGAGCAATTACAACTTCTCAGCCTTACTACACTTACTGCACTGGCTTACTTTGTCTTTTGAGACTTTGCAGTAAAGAAAGGTAGAAATTCATTTGCTGAATGATAAAGCAAGAAGCAGAGAGGAAACAGCTGACTGGAAACAAAAGGTCTGCAAGCAAAATAAAGCGAATGCTGTGTACAAGTGTGGACACTGAGCAAGGTGCAGTTCGAGGGTTCCTGCAGTGCCACCATCGCAGGTGAGCGGAGTGGAAGAGCGAGGGTCCGAGCTGTGCTAACTCCAACGCTGCTGGGACTTCCAAGGGCTTTCCCTGTTTCTGCATCCCTGGTCTGATCTTCCCCAGCTTCTGTCTGGCACAAATGCAGTTTCCATGGCTTCCACTTGAGGCTCAGAGCTCCACTGTTCAGCGCTCTCCCTGCGTGTTTCTCTCTCCCCGCACACTTTCCCTACGGGGAGCCACTCTATTCCGTTTTATCAGGCTCCATCCCCCACTTGCAGGTATCTGGTGTGTTCCCTGCACGTCCCTGAAGGTACACTGTCCAGCACACCAGGAACACAAGAAATATTAATTGCACGTGCATTTTGTAAAGCTCCCAGTCCCACTGCACTGCTGACAGCCCTCAGAGCCTTGCTGGAACACTACCAGGCATTGAAATGGGATTTCAGCCCTGCTGTCTCCCATCTTTCAGGAGCTCACTGCATTATCAGCCTATGTTTTCAGCCTCTCCAGTTGGCCTTTGGTCTCCCAGTACTGGACCATGAGCACTGAATTCAGATTCACTGGGGAAGGGCAGTGCTCTTCACTTACAGATAACACTTCAGCCCTTGGGCACATCACTGCCTGACCTGGACTTCCTTCAGCCTGTCTCTGCTTCCTAGCCCTCCTCCTGGCTGCTCTCAGCGTTAGGACTTCAGAGCTCCATCCTCTGTTTCTTGCTGCAGGCAGGTGAGCACAGGACAGCCAGCATCCCTGCATGTCTGGGGTCAGCAGGCAGAACCTTGGACAATTTGACTCAAATTGACAATGCTGAGGGTGGTTAAATGATCTCTCTGGTCAACACAGAGACTTTGATGTGGCTTCAAACTGCTCAGCATGGGTAAGGCATCGTGGGAGAAAGTCAGCCCTGGAAATGTCCTTGAGGATGCATCCCAAATGGGCTCCTCAGAGGGGGCAGTTGGTCATGTGCTGCTGAGCAGAAGAGGAACCATCCAGGCCAGCCCCTCTTCCTGCACTGCAAGCGGCTGCTGCACAGTGGGTTGTGAAGGCGATCCTCCAGGTATCACAGGATGTTGGCTAAGCAAAGGCCCAGGGCCCTCTACATGCCTTAATCTTACCCTGCAGATCGTTAAAATTAATTTTGTTGTAGCTATAAAGGGAAAAGTTCAGCCTGAGACAGGCACGCAGCATGGCAAAACACAACTGCACCAGTTAACATTTAAAAACTTACCTGCAAAGAGAAGCAGGTCTTTCAAATGGAAACTGCCTCTGCCTGCCTCCGTTATGATCTGAGCACAGAATCTGGCAAAACAGGACTGACTCTGGCCACAGGCTCTGGGCATTCCAGCAGCACAGCCACTGGGCACATTAAAAGCAAGGGTGATGCTGCAAAACGTTTCACTGAGTTTGGGAAGTCCATAGAATGGGACAGCTGGGTGTTAGCAGCAGCTTGGCTCATCTCAGGCACAGGCTCTGCTGCTGGTATCCATGAGGTGGCCCAATGTGAAGCAGCCCCGGAGGCAGCCGGCTCAGGGCAGGCTGTGAGGGTCCCGTCCCAGCAGGCAGTTGGAGTGCAAGGAGCACCCAGTGGCTCCAGCTGGCCTCTGAGCCGCAGCCTCACCGCATTTCACCCCAGCGCCACGTTGCCCCGTCTGATTCCATCTTCAGCTTCATGCCTGCAGCAGCTGCTGAACTGCCTCTCCTTCCTTGTGAGCACGCTTGGGAACTGCGCCCGGCAGGGCTGCAGCTGGGATAGCAAGAACCCAGGATCCTCACTACAGGAGACACTTCCCAAGTGTGTAGCCTTGCTACTGATGGATCCTCGGGACAGCAGAAGGCTCCTTACAAGGACCTGGCCCAAGCCAGCATTTCTGAAATAAGGGGAGACTGTAACTTGGAGGTGAGGAAAACGCAGAGTCATCCGTTTTGGGGCTCAGAGTCAGAGCTGGCACTCCAGAACATCACACATACCTTTCTGATAAGCCTTGTGCGGGGGCAGCAGTGATGGGGACCAGTCCTGTGTGCCACCCTCCATGGTCCAGCAGGGTGCCCAGAAGCAGCTCTTAAGCTGCCTCTCCCTGGTCTGACAGCTCCCTTTCCCCGGTGGACGAGGGAAGACAGAAAGCTCTCCCAGCAGCACCTGGAAGACGACTTTCTCTCAGCTGGAGTGAGGGCTGTTGGGTTTTCTGGGGTCTCATCAGCTAAGGCACCAACCGTTTCGGTACCCAGAGTGACAGCAGTCGATCCAAGCACATCTGCACCATCTCTCCTTGCCCATTTGCCCCAGGGGTGAGGCAGAAAATACAGCAGTGCACAGGTGAAGCACCCTCGTCCTCAGCAGGCAGCAGGTCTACCCAGCAAAGATCACACCATGGTCCAGGCCAATGAGCAGAGCACAATCCCACTTCAGGACTTCAACGTTTCCTGGCACCCCTCTTGAGTCCTGCACCCAGTGCTGGACACACACCGTGGGCAGACAGATGGCACTGAAACCTGACTTGTCTGCCTCCAGTCTCCTGATTTCAGTTCTTTACTCCTTGCAAAAGTAGAAGCCTTCATACATCTCTGAGGCCTGTTCTGTTTAGGAGAGCTAACATCTCCTCCAGAGCAGGGTTCTGGCTTTTCCTCTCTGGAAGAGCGATGTTCGTCAAGTGCTGCAGATAAAGCCCTGCGTCCTGCGGCACACAGTTGGCTTCTGTTGGCACTGTGGTGGCATTGCCTCACTGCTGCTCTGCCATCAGGTGCAGCTGACAGTTCCTGCTTGCTTTTGGCTCATTTTTGTACAGCAGACCGAGACTGGTTCTTCTGGGCAACATTCCCAAAGCAGTGCCTGCACCTGAGCTGCGAAGTTACCTTTATTTTCTACCTGCATAATCTCTCCTAGGACCATTGTAACACAATGGAAAAGCGCAGCAGTGACAGCAGAGCAACAAGATCCCAGGTTGCAGCAAGCAGGAATATACCCGAATGCAACAGCAGTGAGCACAGAAACAAAGGCAAGAAGCTGCTTGCCTTCAAAAGATCTTAAGGATGCAGGAATCTCAAGAGAGATACCCTCACCCCCACTGCCAACCCTAGATGAGGTCTGGAAGGGCTGCATCGTGGCTCACCCCTTTCATCACTCAGGTTCATTGCACGCACCTGAGCTCCCCTGGGCTGGCCCTGCCTTCCCACCAGGTGCTCAATCACTGCTTCAAGCTGTGACAGCATTTCTGTTACAACCATCAATGTGGCTCCTCCATCTAGGCCAGCTGCTCAGCTGCAGCATAATTGTTCCCAATGAGATCAGAGGCATTGCTCAGGAAATATAGCTTCTGATACAGAATGCAGACAGAATGGGGAGAAGGGAGAGAGCAAGAAAGAGCAAGGCAAGCATGAGATCTGCAGGGAGAAACCATCACCAAGTCAACACCTTCATAAGAAGAGAACTGCTCAAGGCACAGTAGAGTCCTCAACAGGTGAGGTAGGGTCCATTTTGTATGATGGCATAGCTGGCACACTGTTGGCCCCTGGCTGCAGGGGATTGTGCAGGGAAGGGGGAGGTTGGAGTTTCTTGGAAATTACCAAGGAGCCTTTGCAAAGGGCTCTCTTCATCTCTCTCCATTCAGTCAAGCATCAGAGAGTTATAGAGTGCTTAGGGTTGGATGAACCTCTGCAGCCTGCCTGGTCCAGCTCCCTCCCACATGGCCTAGGGCAATGTTCACATAGCTGTTGAATATCTCCAAGAAGGAGACTCCATAATCTCTGCAAGAAACCTGTGTCAATGCTCAATCATCTACATGATAAGGAAGTGTTTCCTGATGCTCAGAGTCCTCTGAATTTTGGCTGGTGCTCACTGTCTGTTGTCCTGGCCCTGTGAACGTTGAAAGGTGCTTGGTTGCATCTTCTTGTCCCTCCCTTCAGGTGTTTGTGGACACTGATGAGATCCTCTGAGCCTCCTCCCCTCCAGGCAGACTGATCCTAGCTTTCAGCCATGATCTCAGCATGCCCCATCTCTGGCAGGTTGGGCCTTATCATGGCCCCCAAAGTCGGGCTTAGCTGCCTCTAGGGGAGAACTTGGTATTTTTCCTTACAGGTCTGCAGCCCCAGCAGGTGCAGCATCTTCTGCAGATTAATTAAGCACAGTGGCTGTTCCTTTGTGTGGATGTGAGCAGCGCCAGGTGCAGGGCAGCCCTCCAGGTAAGCCCCTGCTTATCACTGCATCTTCACTACAGGTAACTGTCCCGTAATGGGGTTTTCTGACAAGTTACACACTCCTCTAATATTCTTCACTCTATACTGCATTTTCTTAATTCCATTCTGAGATCTTTATGTGCTCTATGTGAGAGAGTGTGTAATTTAGACACTTGCTCTTTCTGTCCCCTTCCCACTGGCCCTTCAGCCTGCTGAGGAAGCAGCCTTGGTCTGACCAGCTGCATACTGCTAAGCTATGAGATACTTTTGGTACTATGGGAGCATCAGCATCTGAATGGGAGCAGAGATGTGTGAGCACTTGTCTCCATGCTCCTGATAGCGAGACACAAGAAGCACTGAGCACCAGCAGAGCTGTGGCAGGGCCAAAGCTGACACGGTAAGGTCAGCAGAGAGCTCTGCCTGTGGCTGCATTGCAATGTAGGGCTGCAGGTCAGGGCAGTGCTGAGGGTTCTGCTGCCATGGGGTAAAGGACCTTGGGATGTCTGAACACCACGGAGAACCTCCCTGGGTGAGTCCCCATAGAAACTCATGGCAGCAGCCTTGTGTGTATCACTCCTCATCCTGAGATCCTCTGAGATCCACAGACGCTGCCCTGTCCTGCAGGGTGACACCCAAGTCTGTGAGTGGAACTGAGCAAGAGAAAATACTGAACCAGGAGCATAAGCTGCCGTCACCTTTTATTTCAGAACGTCTTTTTCAGAATCCAGAATATACAGCACATCCAGAGCAAGGAATTCAGCAGAGCCAGTGCCAACCAGCATTCATACAGCACTGGGAGCTAAGGGGAAGTCAGAGGCATCAAGTGAAGTATCCATGGGCAGAGCTGTTGGTGGAAACGTGGAGCTGTTTAATTACCCCAGGGTCAGATGCAGTCCCAGCTGCAGTGGAGGCCAGCAGCAGACCAGCGTGGGAGTGAAGAATCATGGAGTACAGTGCTGTAATTAAGCACTCTGATCACCCTGGGACTTGGGCTGAGCACCGCACAGGATGAAGCGTGGCCTGGGCAAGGGCAGGCCTGGCGGTGGTTTTAAGGGTGACAGAGATGAGAAATCTACATTCAGCACGATAAGCTATTCTAAGAGGCAATTAGCTAGCAGATTAATTATCCTCACTATTAAAACCCATCTCATTTCTAATCTGTCTTTGCCCAGCTTCCATTTCCAGCACTGGACCCCATCTTATCTCCGAGTGCCAGGTAGAAGGGCTGGCGATGCCGAAGGACGGCTCCTGCCCCGTGCCGCCAGGAGGTGAGGGGCCGTCCTGGCAGAGCCCCATCACTGCTCTGCCTGCAGCGCCCTGGGACTGCTGTGCGTCACTGGCGATCCACAGCTCTTCTCTGAATCCTCACCAATTCCCTCTTGCTTTGCTTTTTAAAACACGGACTGCAGAGCAACAGTTGCCAAAGCTCGCAGTGTCTGGGCACCTTCCTCAGGCTGCCGTGTGTGGAAACAAGAAGCTGGTACGTATTCCTGCTCTGTGTTCGAGGCAGTGGCAAGGGGTGATATTCATATTGCAGGGTGGTGGTGCTGCACTGCCTATTCCATCAGTGACTAAGGAAGATGCTGAAAAGGAACTAATTAACAATCTTTGTAGTCTGTGGGAGGATAACTTGCATCCAAGAGTTTTTAGTTGGCTAATGAGTTCACTGGACCTTTTGTTTTTCCTTATGACAAATCATGGCACCTTGGGGAACTTAAGATAACTGAGGGAAGAAATCTGATGTCTGACTGGTATTTAATGTGGTCACAGATATCCAAGAAAATAGAGAGCAGTTAGTTCAGCACAGACCCCAGCAGTCCCAGGTAAACAGCCAAGGGATGCTCGGGTGAATCAGTGGAAGCCAGAGCCCCAAATAACAGCATTTGTTCTTTCCAAGTGAAAGAGTTACTTATAAACATTTGGGGCTTTTGTTCATTTGTTGATCTCTTTTATTTTTTTCTTTCTTTGTAAGCCTACAAGCACTCAGTAGAGCTGAGTACATACAGATGACATGTCTGGACTCCTGCAGGTCACTTGACTTGGTTCTACACCATATTGTATGGGAAATATGAGCTGTCTGCTATAGGCGATGCGATCAGTGCTCATGGAGTTGAGGAAGCTGGGTAACAGCACAGTAATTCCACGTAACTCTGGCAGGAGAACTGGCTGCACTCCATTCACGTATCAGTGCTGTTATTAGCAAGCAGGGAGAAAAGGAAAAGTAATTTTTGGTAGAAGTGTTGAGGTGGTTAAAAATGAAATGTTGGGATGGTGAGAGTGTCAGGTGGTGCTTGGCCAGAACAACAGGGTCTGCACTGCAGGAATCCTGAAGGATCCTTTCAGGTTCCTGAAAAACTGGCTTCAGTGTATCCAAGTTCCAGGGACAACAGGAGCACGAAGAATGTAGGCTTCATTTTAATACAGAGACCAGATTGTGGACAGCAGTGAGCTCAAGAAATAGAAGGTCTGTCAAGTGCCAGCTGAACAGAGATCCTGGATGGGAGAGCATCACTGCCAACGCACCTCCTGGGCCTTGTGGCCCTGGTAAGGCCAAGCACAGCTGTGCACATCTCACAGCCACAGCACTGGCAGTGACCCTACAGAACACCATGCAGCCACGTTTTGGGTGCTGGGCTCGGGCCAATCCTCTCAGCTCAAACAGACACAGCGGGACCAGGGAAGGTCTGTGCTTAAGGGTGGGTGACAGCCTTCACACAGGGAGTGACGCAGCCACGTGGAATTCCAGCCCATTAAGGAGGGAAGCGGCAGTGATCTGTAAGACCTCGAGTAGTTGATGCAGAACAGTCCACAAACGCACAGATTTTTTGAAGGCAAGAGCTTAAAGGTATGCCATGAAACAAGGTGACAGCATGAGGACAAATGGAAGAGATGATGGGCACAGCGTGCAACTTAGTTATGAGCTTCTTTCTAGAAGAGTATCGTAACGCTCACACTTATGTGGGTCCAAAAATTGACAGGTTAAATGCATGGTGGAAAAAGATCCACACAGAGCTGTTAAATATGATAACGTGGCACATAATGCTGCTTACTGAGGGACGGGACAGGTAAGGGTCAGGGAGATATCTGAGGCTGTTCCCAGCCCATAGGGAAAGGTCACACAATCACCAAGGTTGGAAAAGACCTCTGAGATCATCCAGTCCAACCGTCCACCTACCCCCACCATTTCCCCACCAAACCATATTGGTCTGTTCAGCATCTCGACGTTTCTTGAACAACTCCAGGCACAGCAGCTCCACCACCTCCCTGGGCAGCCTGTTCCTGCGCCTGACCACCCTTCCAGAGCAGAAACTGTTCCTAACCTCCAACCTGAGCCTCCCCTGGCACAACTTGAGGCCGTTCCCTCTCACCCTCTCGTTGTTACGTGGGAGAAGAGGCCGACCCCGTCCTCACCACCACCTCCTTCCAGGCAGTTGTAGAGAGCCATAAGGTCTCCCCTGAGCCTCTCCAGCACAATCCCAGCTCCCTCAGCTGCTCCCTGTGAGATTTGTGCTCCTGACCTCCCAGCTGCACTGCCCTCCTGTGCACACACTGCACAGCTCCATGTCTTCCTGGCTGCGAGGGGCCCAGAACCAGACAGCGCCATACTTGAGTTACAGCATCACCAGAGCTGGTATCAGTGGAAACTGACCCTTAGCTAAAGGAAGGGGACACGGTGGAGGAAGGGATAGGCAATGTTTTGAGAGAAGGGCAGAGTGACGCCCAGCAGCTGCGGCTGGGATGGAAACTTCTGCTTGGAAATGGGACTGCTTTGTTCCTGGGCACAGCCATGGGCTCGCATTACTCTGCCAGTCACGAGGGTGCCTCCCTTTGCTCTGCCCAAAAGTAGAGACAAATGCTGAAGCTGAACAACTGCCTGTGCCCAGGAGGCATTCCTGGCACCTGGTGCAGCGGCAGTCAGCAGCTCCGTGTGACACTGAGATCAGATTTGAGCCAGTTTCAGTGCAGCTCCTGCAGCACAGCAGGTGCCCAAAGAGGACAGGCAGCTCCTGGAATTGGGTTGTCCACAGTGCAGGGGCGCTGTGTGCTCCTCTGGTTACAGAAACAGAGATAGATATTCTGTAGGTTGAACTCCTTCAGTCTGCACTGCCCTCAGCACTGAGATGCAGGGCAGATCCAGCAGAAGTGGTATGGGGCTGGGCCTGAAGTCTAACAGCTGTGAGAAATACCATGGACAAAGTAGAACAATTAAATTCAGGCCTCCACTGGCCTCACAAAAATGATATTATCTTAGTAGCTCAGTACACATTTCTGAACATACATTACTGCAGGACAGCACTGGAAAGTGTGGATAGTGATAGGACAAGAGGGAACAGTTTGAAAGTGAGACTGGGGAGGTTGAGGTTGGATATGAGGAGGAAGTTTTTCCCCCAGAAGGTGGTGAGGCACTGGAACAGGCTGCCCAAGGAGGCTGTGGATGCCCCATCCCTGCAGGCATTCAAGGCCAGGCTGGATGTGGCTCTGGGCAGCCTGGGCTGCTGGTTGGCGACCTGCACACAGCAGGGGTTGGAGCTGGGTGAGTGTTGTGGTCTTTTTTGACTCAGCCAAAACTAAAAAAAAAATTAAAAAAAACAAAAAAGACTCCACATGCACTGCCCTATAGGCTGTCTCCAAACCAAAGATGTCCAGCCAGCTTAAGGCAACCCAAATCCACACCATCACCACGAGACAGGTCTTCCTATTTTGTCCTTCCCCAACCACTGATACATCATACCAAAAAGCAAACTATAAACCACTATAAAGAGTGGTTCAAATTGCAAGAATTAGGTTATGGGACTCGCTCCCATAAACAAATCATCCTGAGCAGTCATGTGAGCTCAGCCAGCAGGGAGGTGGTGACTTCATGCTGGGTTCCAGCTCTGGTTCAAGGCAGATGCACTCCTGAAGCATGCTACAAGCAGGGCTGTTGTCCCATGTATTCCAAAGCTCTCACTCCCTTGCTCTCCTCCTGCTGTTTTGTAGGCAGCTGTGGGAAATCACCTCCTCTCCCTGCCCACTGATGCCATAAAGCAAGCTGTCAACCCTTTTTGGGTTACATCATCTCTACGCTGTGACCATATTACCTGCGCATGCAGACTGCTGCAGCCAGCTTCCTGGCACACGCAGTGAGCCTAAGAGCACACATCCATATTGTATCCCGTTAGGAACCGTGCTGTGTGTGATGTGTCCCTGGTGCAAATACACAAGGAATGGCACACCACAACTCACCGTGTCAGGCTCACTACTTCAGAGCAGCATGGACTGGCTGCGCAGACGGGCAGCAGAGCTACGCTCTGTGTCCAGGCAGAGGCAGAGGCCTGTCCCACTGCTCAGCTTTCAGCTCTGCATATCCCTGTGCCCTGGGACCAGTGTGGATATTCAGAGGCTTCAGAAGATCACTGCACAAAGAGGAGTGATCACAGCGCTGTCCTAGCACAGACTGCCAGACAGCAGCAGCCTAGACACTCCCTGAGGCAGTGGCAGGATGGAATTAACTTCCAGCAAATAGCTAAGAGCTGGTTAGCCTTGACAGCACTGACTTAAAATCACAGAAGCAGATGCTACCTTCACCTTTCTCACAGTGCAGCACGAGCTGTGTGTGGCCCTGCACTGGGCTGTCAGTGGCTGGGGACACAGGGGCAGGCTGCTCTGTGACCAGGGCACAGTTCCTGCTCGCCCCACAGCCCTGGAGCTGGCACAAGCACTGCCCTAAGCTGCAAGGCCTGGCAAATCCAGACACTGCACCTGCATGGGAAGAGTGCATTCAGGAAGCCTCAGCTCTGTGTCCAGCACCCTTCGTCCCTGGTCCTCAGAGGAGCAGACGGACGCATAGGGCTGAG